CCGCAGCCTCCACCCACTGGGCTCCGGCGATCCTTCCGCCGCAGCCTTCCGAGTAGCTGGAATTACAGGTGCACGCTACCACATCTGGCTGATTTTTTATTTACTGTAGAGATGAGGTCTCGCTGCCCAGGTGGGTCTCGAACCCGTGGGCTCAGGCAATCCACTCACCTCAGCCTCCCAAAGGCACGGGATTACAGGCTGAGCCACCGAGCCCGAGCCCAGCTATAGATCTTTATAAGTCTTTTTTTTTTTCCCATCTGTAAGTTAATTCCTCCATTTGTGAGGATCTTAGGGGAAGGGATGCTATCTTTCTAGTGTTGTCTCTTAATGCTTAAACCTTAATTTCTTGCAGATGAAAATAAAGGGCATTCGGGAATATGGGAGCAAAATATATATCTATCTTAGTACGAAGGAACTGTCCCTGGGGACACCAGGAGCTTGGAGCAGAAAAAGGGCCTAAATGTCCTCAAAACCCAAGCCATAAAAGTTAAAAGGCAAGATTGGACTTTTCATGTAATAGAGTTCCTTACAAAGCTCTCTTTGTCACCATGCCCTTTTCCTTTTGTTGCTTGGATCAGAATCATATTCCCTTACATTTACAAAACATTTTTTTAGCCACCTCTTAGAAGTAACTGTGGTTTTTTTCTAGTTCAAGCAATACCTCCATCCAAAGGATATATTCCATTGAAAATACTTTCTTGTGAAACTACTGGGAATGTCTGTGTCTATACTTTTTTCACCCAGACCAAGACTGCTCAGTTTAAAGCCCTTCACTACCATGTAATTTAATTTAAAAAACCCAAACCAGGAAGCTAATCTGACAATAGGATAGAATCTGCAATTGAGACCATTCTGGAAAATTGTGAACATATGGTTACCATAGTTAAAACTCATGTCATTCTCCTGCTTTTGACAGGAAGGAGAATCAACATATTTGATAGTAATCAGGCATAGCAGAAATGATAAGCAAATGGAAAAACTATAACAAATTAGGACAAGGAACAGTGTTGCTGCTTGTTAACACTGACAATGTGACAATATATCCAAAGCTAAAAAGTGAAATCCAGAAATAAACATAGTTGATGAGTATATTATCCACTTCCACCCCCTGCTCCCAATCATGATGCCAATAATTTTTTTTTTTTTAGTTGGAATCTCACTCTGTCACCCAAGCTGAAGTGCAGTGGCATGCTCACGGCCACTGCAACCTCAACCTGCTGGGCTCAGATGATCCTTCCGCTTCAGCCTTCCAAGTGGCTGGAACCACAGGTGGGCGCCACCACCCCTGGCTGCCAATAATTATTTTATATTCCACCACCCTTACATGAGAGCACAATGAGGTATTTAGTGTACAGGCTTAACTATAAGTTTTTATGCACAGACAAGTTAGACTAGCCAAGCCTCACCTGCAGGACTGGTAGCTGGAAACTGGGAAGACTGTCTAGTGTGGGTGTGATTCTACTCTCTCTCTGACCTGAAGGATAGAATGGAATGGTAAAAGACAACTTACTTGAGCAATTTCTCTTGTGGGTCATAGTGATGAGATAGTCCTTAATTGAAGGAATACCACTCAGAAGGGAAAAGTCTATTAACTAAGCAATCTGAGAAGTGGATTATAAAGTCCATTCTTGGCTGGGCACAGTGGCTATTGCCTATAATCCCAGCACTCTGGGAGGCCAAGGCAGGAGGAACACTTGAGTCCAGTAGGTCAAGACCAGCCTAGGCAACAGTGAGACCTTGTCTCTAAAACAATTATTTTTTTAATTAGCCAGGTATGGTGGTGCATGCTTGTAGTCCAAGCTACTTGGGAGGCTGAAGCGGAAGGTTTGCCTGAGCCCAGAAGGCTGAGGCTGCAATGAACCATGATCACGCCACTGCACTCCAGCCTGGGTGACACAGCGAAAACCTGTCTCAAATAAAGTTCATTCTTCTCCTGTGAGGACAGGGTACAGGCAGAGAGGTCTGGGATTTGAGTTTAACCATAAGTGGAATGAGAGAGAGGTAATATAAATACTTAGATGAGCTATGGAAAAATACAAAAAAAGCCAGTTTAATCCCACAGTTTAAATAGTCGGACTCAACTGGTGACAGGGTAAGCTACCAGGCAAAATCCAGAGCTTTCCTTCACTGTGAAGGAAATGGGATGGCTCTTAAAGAATATTGAGGGGTCAAATTGGAGACAATGCTCTTTGAGGGGCAAATTCCAAATTCTTGTCACCTTTAAAATCTTCATTTTAGTATAAAATAGTTGATGCTCCACTCCTTTGGGAATATTATTTAACTTACCAGGATTGTTGGGAGTGAAGACTCTTGTGTGGCCTGGATCCCCATTTAAGGGTGGTCTGAAATTAAAAATCCCCTGTCCAGAGGAGGCAGATGAAGGTCTAAGGAGGGAAAATAGAAGCATCAACAGAGAAAAGGAAAGATGAAGATAACAAACATATGCAAAGGAAAAGCCTATACAGTTAGGCCAGAGAGGAAAAAAAAATCCCCTGCTTGCAACCAAGAATAAAAGAATTCAGATATATATTAAACAGTTGAATTGTTATTCAACTTTCTCTTCTGTTTACGAAGCAGATTATATACTTCAGTGGTACAAACCAGTGGAGAAGTAACCCCAAGGCTGTTGGCAAAGTGTAAGTGTGAACAGATCCCAAAGGAAAGAAAGCATAGTGTTACTCACCTATAAGACAGGCTATGAGTTGAAGCTGGTGAAGGGGTTTCTGGAAAGCATAAAAATGAGCCCATGATATAATTGACAAGCTGGAGAAGAGATTCAAGGAGCCAGGGCAGAGGACTTAAGGATCAAAAATGTTTGGTATATATGTTAGGCTTGGGGGCTAATGGCAAGTGAAAAAGCTCACAAATTGCCTAGCAGTATCTCAGAAATGTGCTTTCCTCTCCCTTCATGAGTCTGTGAGCCAGGATCCATCACTGCCTTGATATGCTCTAATGTATCTGTGCCTTGACTTCCCCTCTAAGATGGAGATTACCAAAGAGAATAGGTAAAGACAACAGATCATTAAATCGGTTAGGTCTGAATTAGCCAGGTGTGGTAGCGCGCGCCTGTAGTTCCGGCTGCTTGGAAGGCTGAAGTGGAAGGATCGCCAGAGCCCAGCAGGTCGAGGCTGTGGTGGCTGGGAGTGGTCACTGCACTCCAGTCTGGGCAACAGAGTGAGACTCCAAGTCAAAAAAATTGGCTAGAACTGGTATCAACAAAACATGTAGGGCAAAGACCTCCAAAAAGTCTCTGCTCCATAAAAGCAATGAGAAAATTGGCATAATGTTCAAAGTCAACTTTTACAGAACTCTGGAAATTAACAAAGGGCTTGTAGCAACCTGGAAAACGTTTACTCAAGAAAAATAGCTGAATGTCAGTAAAAACAGCAAGCTTTATGGCATTTTAACTTCCTCTACTGCCATTTCTCCTTCTCCAGCTCCACTATAGCCTTGAAAACCAGCAGGCTGGCAGTCACTGAAGGGAATGGAACAGGGCTGGAGCGTTTTCAAAGTTCATTCTCAGAGAATAGTCATTATTTGACCTGTCTCGTGGTTCCCTGAAAGACCTCACTTTCAAGGCTTTTTTTTTTTTAAGTTGAAGTCTCACTTTGTCACCCAGGTTGGAGTGCAGTGACAAGATCATGACTCACTGCATCCTCGACCTCCTGGGCTCAGGCAATCCTGCCGCATCGGCCTCCTGAGTAGCTAGGATTACAGGTGCACACCACCATGCCAGACTCAACTTTTTTTTTTTTTTGAGTTGGAGTCTCACTCTGTCACCCAGACTGGAGTGCAGTGGCCGCTCCCGGCCACCGCAGCCTCGACCTGCTGGGCTCCGGCGATCCTTCCGCCTCAGCCTTCCAAGTAGCTGGAACTACAGGTACGCGCTACCACACCCGGCTAATTTTTTGATTTATTGTAGAGATGAGGTCTTGCCAAGTTGCCCAGGCGGGTCTCGAACCCACGGACTCAGGCAATTCACTCATCTCGGCCTCCCAAAGCGCGGGATTACAGGCTGAGTCACTGACCCCGGCCGCTAGACTCAATTTTAAAAACCTTTTTTGTAGAGACAAGGTCTTGGTATGTTACCTAGGCTGGTCTCAAACTCCTGGGCTCAAGCATTCCTGTAGCCTCCCAAAGTGCTGAGATTACAGGCATGAACCATTGCACCCAGCCAAGGTTGTCTTTATTAGACAACTTGGAACTTAAGCTAACCAGGACTTAGAGCTCAGAACACACTAAGTGCAGAAAAACTTCTCTTCAGGAGTGTTCGTTGAAAACAATTAGCCCTTGTTTGGCTGCCTAAGGAGATATCAGTTGGGCAAAGAATAGGCTAATCAAAAAGCATGACATATAGGAAACAAATAGCAACAAGACAGAAGTCAACCTCTCCTTGTTAGTAATTACCTTAAATATAAATTAATTAAAAGGCAGAAACCGGCAGACAGATTAAAAGACAGGTCCAACTATGCATTATCTACCAGAGACTCACTTTAGATTTAAAGATGCATATAGGTTGAAAGTAGAAGGATGAAAAAAGATAGTCCATGCCAACAGTGAACGAAAGAGTGGCTATGACAGTATCAGACAAAATAGACTTTAATTAAGATAAAATTATTACTAGAGACAAAGAAAGGCAAATAATGACAAAAGAGTCAATCTATCAAGAAGACAACACTTACACACAGGGGGACCACACCCCCCAAAAATGGAATAATTTTTTGGAGGGCAGGTTCCTTATGGTACAGGCTTCCCCTGCAAGGTAATTGTTCTAGGAAACCCATCAGCATCAGTGTACCAGCTAGTGTTGTTGTAAGAGGCTGCGTTCTGCTTCAGTGAATTTTTTTCTGGAGATTCAATGCATTTGCCCATTTCATGCTGGGTGATTTACAAGTGCACCTGCCTACACCACACTGAGTATTCAGCAGATTTTGACCAAAAGCAGCATGACCCCTGTGCCCACCCTTCCTATTTACCCGATTTTGCCCCAAGTGACTTTTTTTTGTTTCCCTGGATGAAAAAAGTCCTCAAAGAGAAACATTTTACCAATGTGAAAGAGGTAAAACAAAAAAATGGCAGAAGTATTAGAAGACATCAAAACTGACGGTTCAAAAACTGTTTTGAGCACTGGAAAAAGTGTCTCAATAGGTATATTGCGTCAGAGTACTTTAAAGATGACTAAAGTTTAAACATGTAAGGATAAATATACAATTTTTAAAATAAGTAAATTCTGGTTTTGGGGGTCTCTCCTTGGATATGCACCTAACAACAGAGTCCTAAGATACATGAAGTAACCTGACAGAATTAAAGAAAAAATTAGACAATTTAATAATAATAGTTGGTGATTTCAATACCCCACTTTCTTTTTTTTATTTTTTATTTTTTTGAGTTGGAGTCTCACTCCGTCAGCCAGACTGGAGTGCAGTGGCTGTTCCTGGCCACCGCAGCCTCGACCTGCTGGGCTGGGCTCTGGCGATCCTTCCGCCTCAGCCTTCCAAGTAGCTGGAACTACAGACATGCGCTACCACGCCCTAATTTTTTGATTTACTGTAGAGATGAGGTCTCGCCAAGTTGTCCAGGCAGGTCACGAACCCTCAGGCTCAGGCAATCCACTCACCTCAGCCTCCCAAAGACGTGGGATTACAGGCTGAGCCACTGGGACTGGCTCAATACCCCACTTTCAATAATGGACAGAAAAACTGGACAGAAGATCAGCAAGGAAAAAGAAGTATACCAATCAAACAACACTTTGTACGAACTAAACCTAACAAAATCTATAGACTCCTCCACCCACAATAGCAGATTATACATTCTTCCCAACTGCACATTATCCAGGATAGACTATATGTTAAGTCTCACTCTATCACCCAGACTGGAGTGCAGTGGCCGCTCCCAGCCACCGCAGCCTCGACCTGCTGGGCTCCGGCGATCCTTCCGCCTCGGCCTTCCATAGGCCACAAATTTAAAAGGATTTAAATCACTGATTTAAATAAATATGTGCCCAATCACAATGAAATGGAATTCAGAATCAATAATAGCAGGACATTTGGGAAATTCACAAATATATAAATAATAAACAACACACTGCTAAATAACTGATGGGTCAAAAAATTCACAGGGGACATTGTAAAATACTTGGGATGAATAAAAACAAAACACAACATAACAAACCTTATAGAATGCAGTGAAATCAGTGCTAAATTAAAATTTATGACTGAAAACATCTATATTTAAAAAGAACTCAAATCAATAATCTAACCTTAAGAAACTATAAAAAGAAAAACTAAACCCCAAACAACCAGAAGGAAGGAAATAAGTGAAATAGAGACTAGAATGACAATAAAGAAACTCACCAAAACCAAAAGTTTGGTTTTTGTGTGATGACTGACCAGGAAAAGAGGAAAAGACTCCAATTACTAAAATTAGGAATGAAAGAAGGAACGTGGCTACCAAACCTAACAAATAAATTAACTAGAACATCTACATTTTTCAGAGAAGTGAATGTGAAAGATTTGGAGGGAGACTACTTGGTGAAATTTTTTTTTTAATGAAAGGATTAGGAATTTCAAATTCGTCTTCTTGTGAAAGAAAGAGAAATCCTCTCTGATAGTTGTTTGCTAGGGGCTGGTTAATGCCCTTGAAAATAATATTCAACAGGCCGGGCATGGTGACTCATGCCTATAATCCTAGCATTCTGGGAGGCGGAGGCAAGAGGATTGCCTGAACGAACCTAGGAGTTCAAGACCAGCCTGGGCAATTTGGTGAGACCTCGTCTCTACAGAAAATAAAAAAAATTAGCCAGGTGTGATGGTGCGTGTCTGTAGTTCCAGCTACTTGAAACACTGAGGCAGAAGGATTGCCTGAACCCCACAGGTGGAGACTGCAGTAGCTGTGAGCATACCACAGCACTCCAACTTGGGCACAGAGTGAGACTCGGACTCAAAAAAAAAAAAGTGCACAACAGTAATGGTTCTAATGGGATATGGATAAGAAATTAAGCGGGTGGAACCAAAGTATTTCTTCACTGAAATATTTTTGTTTACTACACAGTGGAGAAACCAGATAACCTTTAGGCTAACAACTGGCATCGTGTTCATCTTCCTTTTACACTTAACTTGTACTGCCATCTTGTGGCAATTTTAAAAATGCAAGTCAATTATTTTATTCAAAAGTTATCCTTCCAACTCCTGACCAGAGGTTGTCAATGACTTTCTACTGCTCACATTTTTATTTTTATCTTGTCAGTTGGAGAACAAAAACATTATTTGAAAACTTGTGATATATGTCTGGATACCTGCAATCACTTTTTGGAAAAAAGAAAGTGAAATGGCATAAAATTATACATAGTAAACCAGAAATCCACAGGTCTCTGCACGAATATGTTGACTTCTGGCACCCTTTTTCCCCTCTCACCATTATAAGAGTCTCTGGGAGTGCTCCTTCCCTGAAAGCCTCTGCCTCCCTGATGGACAAATAAACATCAATTAATAAGTATATCCTGGTTCTCTAATTTCCCTTTTCCCTGCTATGTATCTATATCTACACATTCAAGCATATATTGTTCTCCCAGAGTAGGCATATTAGTCTAAGAAGCATTCATACTCTTTACTCTTTCCAAAATGAACACAACTCAGTCTTTGAACACGTCCATTATTTGTACCCCTATTTATTCTATGTGTCAGCTTCTAACAACAGGTCTCTCGTGTCAAGAGAAAATAAGGTCTGGCATGGCATCAGATAATTTATGCAAAAAAAAATACAAATTTAAGATTCTTGACAAATCTTTGTTTTCATTTAGCATTAGAAATCTCAATCTGGAAAGAGAAGGTAAACATTACTTACTTGTCCCAAGTTACCAAAGCCAGTCTCTCTATAAGGAGTAGACTCCAATGAGGAGGACCGGCTGTATGAGGAGAGACAAAAAGAAAAAAAGGCCAAAAACCTGGTGTTAAACTTTTACATAGATCTAAAGTACCTTCAGTCCCAGTCAGAGACACATCTAGGTGTAACTTTCATCTTCCAACTTTTGCCAACAGTTTTAATGTTGCTGTGTAGGCTATCTACTCACCTAACCACTTGGCTACTGTGCTGTGAACTGGGTCGTGGAGTAACTGAAAGAGAATAAAATGCAAAATAAAAAGCTGTCATCAGTGGTGTACCCTGCCTTACCTAGCCAATCTGTTGCAAGTAGTTATCTGGTTGTATGATGTTTTTATGTCATATATAAGATTAGGAAAATCACATTATGGTCTCTAAGCCAATATCATCTTCCATATGAGGAAAGGATAGTTATTCATCTCACATGATATCTAGGCAAAAAAGTGTTCTCTACCTGACTGTGATGGAGAAGTAATGCCTACTGGTCGAGGTGTGGTCAATCTGCAGGAAAAATAAAAAAGGCAGTTCTAATCTCACTAAACAGAAGTTAAGTGCCACTTCAGAGGATCAAGCAGATCATTGTTCACAGAAATAATAACTTCCTCTCTGAGCACAAATTGCTTATTCTCATGTAGTACAGGTATCATCCCCAAATATAAAAGTTAAGCTTCCATATATGACTGCTTTGCTCTCCAACTCCCTAAGTGAAAACTTTTCCACTTCTCTATTGCCCATCCATTCATTTATCCCTCCATCCTCTCATTGACCCATTCAACAAGCATATGTTGGGTCTTTATGTCCTAGATTCTGAAATTACAAAGATAATTAGAATAACTGGGAGGCTCACAGGCTAGTGAGAGAGAAAAAATAATAATCAGAGCAACATTTAAGTGTTGTAATGGATGTATAGGAAGTACAGAAGTACAAAAGAACACTAGACTGTCACTTCCGTGAGTGCAGGGGCATGTCTTTTTAATCCACCAAGTGCAAGGCTGATATTAAAAATATTTAACAGTTGGTAGAGCACAGACATGACCAATTAGAAAGGACTGATAGCCGGGCTCGGTGGCTCAGCCTATAATCCTGCGCCTTGGGAGGCTGAGGTGAGTGGATTGCCTAAGCCCTGGGGTTCGAGACCCGCCTGGGCAACTTGGCAAGACCTCATCTCTACAATAAATCAAAATATCAAAAAATTAGCCGGGCATAGTAGCGTGAGCCTGTAGTTCCAACTACTTGGAAGGCTGAGGTGGAAAGATCTTCTGAGCCCAGCAGGTTGAAGCTAGGGTGTCTATGAGCGTGCCACTGCATCCAGCCTGGGCGACAGAGTGAGAATCTGACTCAAAAAAAGAAAGAAAGAAAGAAAGAAAGAAAGAAAGAAAGAACTGGTGCTATACATCCAGAACCTAACACAGTACCTGATAAACAGTTGGCTCTTAATATCTATTGAATGAACGAATAGAACATCTAACTCCGCCTGATGCAGTCTTCACAGAGGAAATAACATTGCTGAATTTTGGAGGATGAGTAGGATTTCACATTAGTCCAGGACGAGCATTACAATCAAAATTTAACTTCAGCACTTTTCAGTACTTTCAGCCCTTTCTTGGAGAAGTGAACAATACATTTATCAACCATTTTTTCACTCTCAGAGCTCACACAGCCAAGAGTCAAGAAAGAACAGAAATTTTCAGGGGGTGGGGCTAGTATGGAAGTTGATAAAACTGACCTGCTTCCTTGGTACCGACTTGGAGATTCCTGTAGATGAAAACATAGGAGAGTGGGAAGCTGCAAAGTTCCTTGTTAGATAACTAAGCTGTAGTGCCCTCTAGTCATGGTTGTAAGAGTCCCAGTAGGAGAAAAAATAGCAGCAATGTTTCCTTAGGAAATTATTCTTTTTCAGGGAATAACATTTTAGTTCTTCTAAAAGCACATCGGGAATCCTGTAGACTAACATATGTGGGTAAATATGGAGTCTCTTGGGAGAGAGAGGAAAATGAGATATTACAATGTGCTAAAATAGTTAGAGAAATGGAATCAACAGGAAAATTATATAAATACATAAAATATTCTTAGGAAGAAAAAAATGTCTAGGATATGAAGCGTGAGTGAGAGAAAGGGTCCTGGAATGTCTTGGGTTTCTTGAAGAGAAATGTTAAATTGCTCTTTTCTATAAAAGAGCTTCCCAACTGGAACATCATGACTCACTGATATTCAAGAATGGGCTACAGCCGGATGCAATGGCTCATGCCTGTAATCTCAACACTTTGGGAGGTGGGGAACGAGAGGACTGCCTGAGTCCAGGGGTTTGGAACCAGCCTAGACAACATGGCAAGACCTCCTCATCTCTACAATAAATAAAAAAATTAGCTGGGCATGGTGTGGTAGCGTACACCTGTAGTTCCAGCTACTTGGAAGGCTGAAGCGAAAAGATCACCAGAGCCCACCAAGTCAAGGCTGTGGTGGCCATGAGTGTGCCACTGCACTTCAGCCTGGGTGACAGAATGAGACTCCAACTCAAAAAAAAAAAAAAGAATGGGTTACAAGTGTGCTGCATACTGATCATTTCAATCCTCCAAGGTCTTCTGTGGTCTCATTCATTTACTACAGGGTGCTCATTGTACAATTATCAATGCCTATTTGTGCCATAATGTGAAAAAGGTTAGGAAACACTATTGTATACAGTCAACTAGATAAATGGGGAAAGTAGTTGAGAAAATAATAGTAGAAAAATCTATTTCATTCACCTTTAGCATGGCTAGAAATTTCTTCAGTTCTCCATTCTCCTTCCTTAAGACTGACAACTCTCTAGATAAAAGATGAAAAGAATCAGCTCAAGCAGGTCAAGGGTAAAAAAAAAAAAAAACTTGATTACTATTATTAACATCTTTTGAATGCTTACTGAGAGATGCTTGCAACTATATAAGGTATTTGTATCAGGGATTTGGTGGTTCAAGGAGACACTGGCAAGGTTTTGATGGAGAGAACAATCAGGTGGGCAAATTAAACAGTTACTTGGTATAATTTCAGGGGGAGTTTGGAAAGAATTCTGTTTCCTCTCCACACATACCCTGGCCTGATGATGTCTAAAAATTTCATCAAGGATTCCGTCTTATAGCTTAAGATTTGCAAAATATATCCTCCCAGAGATATCAGTGTGAATCAGCTATATCTGACTTCTCAGAAGAAGCAGTTTTTGATACAGAGAAGTAGAAGTAGAAAGCTATAAAGTGAGGAGGGGCCCTGGAAGAAAGAAAGATAAAAATAAAAATAAATAGAGATTTAGGGAATCAAAATTCTATACCTGATTTTCCCAAGACAAACAAATACATATGGAGCAATTTTCAGACTTTTCAACCACAAGGAAATAAAGACTACAGTTTCTTGCGGGTGGGGTGGGGGAGCGATCAGCTATCTGGGGATTTTATTTGTCACTTACTTGTCCTGGCTGGTCAGCATTTGCTGTGCCTCATGCATAGCTGCTTCTAACTTTGTAACTCTATGCTTATAAAAGGCGATGAGGAGGTCCGTTTGTTTCTTCTGGAAACTCCACACCTGCTAGGGAAAGAGGCCTTTGACATACACTCTCAAAGCTCCTTTCCCCTCACTCTGGCAACAAAGGGAAACCCATCAACTCAAACTTTAGTACTGGTCATTTTCTTCTGGAACATCTGGCCTAATTCATGACTCTCCAAAACTGAAGCACTCAGCACTGGGAAAGCTGAAGCTTTTTATTTCCAGGACACTGGCTTTCTAATATCTTAATGAGACCACCATGCCATAGTAGAAGGGCCATTTAAAAATATAATCTTTCATCCTGAGCAAGAAGAGAGATACTCCCAAAAAGGTGTTTTTCAAGCTTAGAATTGGTTCTAATGTCTACTATTAGTTTGGACTCAGTTTCCACATTCCTAGCTACCACAGAACTGGTGACCAATTTACTCTCCCAAAAGGCACTTACAGAGTCACTTGCAGACTGCTCATGCTGCCACGGTAAAGGGTGAAGAGGCATAGAAGCAGATTACTTATGACTGAATTTTATTTCTTGGCGTGGACACATAATTTTATCTTTCGCCTCACTTTACCACTTGCTATACTGATGTGTCCATCATGGGATTGCTGAATCGGATCAAAAGTTAATGTTTAGAAAGTGTTTTAGCTTTGTCAGGCTCTTCTTTTGAGTACACAGCAGTATTTATGTCTCATCTGCTTCCTCCCTGCTCACACTACAAACCTTTTGCCTACGGTCCTTTCCTAGATCTTGGTACTCTTCTCATAATTTTTTCTTCTCACCTAATTTTCAAATTGCTCTTGCCACCTTACTACAGAATTGTACTTAGAGTTTATGTAGTCTCTAGCCTCTTTCCTTTTACTTAAAGGCAAATTAAATTCGATCTAGATAGATAAGAATTTATTGTAGACTATTTTTCCAAAAAAGCTGCTATGTTTAATAAAAGTAATATATGCTTATTTTAGAAAATGTAAACATTGCAGAAGCAGAAGAAAAGTGACTCAGCATCCTGGGAGTTACCTAAAAGGGCAAGGGCGGGGTGAAGAACAATAGATACTATAAACAGATGTAATACCCAAGTCACAGTATCCCAAACATCCTAATCCTACCCTTGGGATTAATCTGCAGTGAAATTTAGCATAAGGCTAGCTTCAATAAAACCCAAATCCTACCTAGACTAGCTACTCCTCCCTTTGAGATCATCAAGAGTCGCAGGAGCAACGGGGAACAGACCCCACTGTAGAACTCCAGGGAGCCAGACTGGACTATGGGAGGGCCTTTTGCCTAGGCCTAAGCAGGGCTACTTTGTCTACTTCTCCCAAAAAACTGAAGCCCAAGATGCAGATCTGACCATTTCAAGAAGAAAGACCAACCCAGAAAACAACCACCAGCAAGAAGTACTGGAGAAAAACAAGCGATTTTACCTGATGTTAGGGTACAAATGTTTAACCTATTTCAAAAATATCAACCAAAGAAGATTCTAAAAACTAACTCGGTAATACATTTCAGTATAGTACTTTTTAAAAAATACTAATAGTTAGCAATCATTCAAATCCCTTAGCCTCATGAAAAGGTTGGACTCTATTTTTCAAAGAACAAAACATTTTGCCCATTTTTAAAAAGGTTAGACTATTTTGTTAATACATTACATAGAGTAGATAACAAAAGTAGTTCTATTGATAACACTAAACACTGTCTGAATAATGCAAGTGTTAAATATTGTTTATTTTATTAGAACATTGTATGAAACTACCTGCTTCTAGACCCAGATTCCTTTCCTTTATCTCCATACTAGGACCAGGTAAGGGTAGCATGGCCTTCGTGCTCTGGATTCCTATTCATTTTAGTATTGATAACAGTGTCAAAAGACAAAATTAGCTTGAGGCCAGGAATTTGAGACAAGCCTGAGCAAACATAGAGAAATCCTGTCTCTACAAAAAATTTAAAAATTAGCCAGGGGCGCAGTGGTGTGCACTTGTAGTCCTAGCTACTCAGGAGGCCAAGGCGGGAGGATCACTTAAGTCCAGGATTTCAAGATTACAGTCAGCTATGACTATACTACTGTATACCAACCTGGGCAACAAAGTGAAACCCTGTGTCTACTGGGAAAAAAAGGGCAAAATTAAAACAAAATTTTTAAAAAATAATTTTGTATAAGAACAGAGATGAGATCTAACTATGTTGCCCAGGCTGGTATCAAACTCCTGGTCTCAAGCAATCCTCTCATCTCAGCCTCCCAAGGTGGTGAGATTATAGGTATAAGCCGCCACACCCAGTCATAAATTTAGCTTAAAAATCTTTACTTGTTTTTTTTTTTGCGTTGGAGTCTCACTCCATTGCCCAGGTTAGAGTGCAGTGGCACACTCATGGCCACCCCAGCATCAACCTGCTGGGCTCCGGCAACCCTTCACCTCAGCCTTCCAAGTAGCTGGAACTACAGGCATGAGCTACCACACCCAGCTAATTTTTGATTTATGGTAGAGACAAGGTCTCGCCAAGTTGCCCAGGCTGGTCTCGAACCCACCGGCTCAAACAATCCACTCGCCTTGGCCTCCCAAAGTGCTGGGATTATAGGCTGAGGCACGAGCCCAGCCAGTTTAAAAATCTTAAACTAAGATTTTAGCACAGTGGCTCACACCTGTAATCCCAGCACTTTGGGAGGCCAAGGCGGGAGGACTGCTTGAGCCCAGGAGTTTGAGACCAGCCTGGGCAACATTACAAGACCTCGTATCTAAAAAAACTCAAAAAATTAGCTAGGTGTGGTGGCTCACAACTGTAGTCCCAGATACTTGGAAGACTGAGGCTCAGAAGGACCTCCTGAGTCCAGGAATTCAAGTCTGCAGTAAGCCATGATCATGCCATTGCACTCCAGCCTGGGCGACAAAGTGAGACCCTGACACACATACACACAAAATCTTAATTAGCTTTATTTGCAATTCTACAATCAGGTAACACATCATTCTAAAAACAGAATGAGTGTTCTAATTAACTGAGCAGAGGAGTTGGTTTTATAGGCAGTAAAGGGCTGAAGAAAGCAAAAACAGAACAAAAAGTGCATGAGTCATTTCAAAGTTATTTTTCTTGTAAAGGTTAAAGCAGAGGACTTCTTTGTCATGTAGGCTAAAATTGGCCTGTTTGAGTTGGAGTCTCACTCTGTCGCCCAGACTGGAGTGCAGTGGCCGCTCCCGGCCACCGCAGCCTCGACCTGCTGGGCTCCGGCGATCCTTCAGCCTCAGCTGGAACTAGCTGGAACTACAGGCATGCGCCACCACGCCCAGCTGATTTTTTGATTTATTGTAGAGATGAGGTCTCGCTGCCCAGGCGGGTCTCGAACCTGCAGGCTCAGGCAATCCACTCACCTCAGCCTCCCAAAGGCGCGGGATTACAGGCTGGGCCACTGAGCCCGGCTTGCAAAACATTTCTTTTGGAGGAATTTTTCATTCAGGGAAATAAAAAAATCACTCAAGGCGAGATCAAATATTGAAAAGGGAGAGTGGAGCATGGGAGTCACACCATTTTTGGTAAAACAAAAACAAAACAAAACTGCTGAACGCTCAGTGTGGTATGGATAGGTGCACTTGTAAATCACCCATCATGAGATGAGCAAAAGCACCTGACAGTCTCCAAAAAATGTTTTCACTGAACCCAAACACAGCCTCTCACTACGTTGGTACACTGATGCCAATGGGTTCCTAGAACACTTACCTAGGGGGGAATCCTGTACTACAAGGAACTCACCCTCTAAAAAATAATTCCAGGTTTTTTGGGTCTCCTTGTATATACTAAAAAAAGTATCTTAAAACTTCAGTTTTAAATTATGTTCAAGAGGTTGGAGAGAGTAAGAAACCGCTGAAATATATTGAGAAAGGCAGAGTGATGTAAGCAAATGGGAAGCTCAGTAGGTTTACTATAATAAGACATAAGACAGTGGGCTCAGTGGCTCAGTCTGTAATCCCAGCACTTTGTTAGGCAGAGGTGAGTGGATTGCCTGAGCACGCAGGTTCGAGACCAGCCCGGGCAACTTGGTGAGACCTCGTCTCTATAATAAATCAAAAATTAGCTAGGCGTGGTAGTGCGAGCTTGCAGTTCTGGCTACTTGGAAGGCTGAGGGGGAAGGATCACCTGAGCCCAGCGGGTCGAGGCTGCAGTGGCTGTGGGCATGCCACTGCACTCCAGCCTGGGAGACGGAGTAAGACTCCACCTCAAAAATAAATAATAAAATAAAAATAAGACATAAGATATTTTGGTCCAGGTGGGTTATTAAAAACAAAAGGATTTTGTTTGTTTATAAAAGTAATATATTGCCTGGCACAGTGGCTCACGACTGCAATCCCAGCACTTTGGGAGGCCAAGCTGAGAGGGTTGTCTGAGCCCACGAGTTAGAGACCAGCCTGGACAACTTGGTGAAACCTCATCTCAACATTAAATTTAAAAATTAGCTGGGCGTGGTGGAGTGTGCCTGTAATTCCAGCTACTTGGAAGTCTGAGGGGGAAGGATCACCTGAGCCCAGCAGGTCGAGGCTGCAGTGGCTGTGAGCGTGCCATTGCACTCCAGCCTGGGCAACAGAGTGAGACTCCGACTCAAAAAAATAAAAAAATAGCTGGGCTCAGTGGCTCAGCCTGTAATCCCATGCCTTTGGGAGGCTGAGGTGAGTGGATTGCCTGAGCCATCGGGTTCGAGACCTGCCTGGGCAGGCGAGACCTCATCTCTACAATAAATAAAAAAAAAATCAGCCGGGTGGGTAGCGCATGCCTATAATTCTGGCTACTTGGAAAG